GAAATTAAGATTCACGTGAAACTTTGGAAAATTATCATTATTGTTTTAATTTATATAATATTTGGAAAATTATCATTGTTATTTTAAACCAATAATTAGATAACTAATAAAAAAACAAGTTTCTTACTGCTGACTTACGAAAACGAAGGTTAACGATCCAACGCGTAATTTTCACGGTATTTTTTTCTAATTTCTATGCAACTTGGACAAACAATCCAATCAGACTATAGTTTCCGGAAAAGTCATTGAATCTTTACAGTTTACTACATTTCCTAAGTAAATGAAGTTTTTTGCTGTTTTATTTTTTTGTAAGCAATCAAGTGCAGTGAAGTGGTAGTGCAAACTATTCAAGCATGCAAACAAAAGTAAATAAGGTAAATAATGAAAATGATGACTTGACGTTTTTAAAAATGCGACCGCATTCAGCCTTTTTCAAAATATTGTTAGAATAAGACTGCTTCGTTTGTAGTGGGGTATCGGGTTCGATACTTTGGGCAAACAAAGTTTTATAGGCGGTTTTCGGAATGAACAAACTAGAAAGAATTGTACCCGGTTCTCAATATATGTGATAGGCACATTTCTCCAACTGTATCAATATTCATTACCAGATCTCTTTGATGTCTTTTCCAAGATCAAGTCAACCTTCACGCAGAAATTTGATCAAAACCGGCTGAGCGGTGTAAGTGGTTAATGTAACGGAAAAACTAAGTAACCTGTTGACTGGCTTTCGAATTGAAATGTTCATTAATCTGGCTGCCAAACTAGGTGATTACAATACCATTACCTCGACATAGCTCCTGTAAATACGGGCGATATAATATGTTCTTTTGTGGACATATACGGGCCATTGTTATGACTATGATTGATGTGTTTATAGCAGTTACTTGGAAAGACATTGATACATATTATTATCGGTCATACGCCTTATAATCTCTGACGGAATAGGGGAACAAATAAATAATGTAAATACTATTTTACTACATATACATGAGTCCCGTGTCATATCCTGGGGGCCCGGAGGTTTAAGTTTCACATCAGGTCACATCTTATGCATGAGGGTGCGTTTTCGAAACCTACCAACGGCAAATACCAATCTTGGGCTCATAATTTCTAATTATATGTTTGTAATCGGCAACCCGCATGAGCAAGCGTGGTGATTAATGCCCAAACCTTCTCCGTGTAAGAAGAGGCTTTGCTCAGCAGTGGGCTTTTATAGGCTGTTGATGCTGTTGATGCTGTTGATGATGATGATGCTGATGATGATGATATATGAGTCCTATTTATTAGAATCATCTTCTATACCGACTGTACAAACTTTTTTTCGAACTGAAGATTTTTATGTGACTACAATACAAGTTACACAATACACTTTTATTAACATAATTTTTTTTTTATTCTATTTGGCCACTTCAGCAGGCAAGTCAGCTTAACCGCAGCCTGTTGAACTAAGAGTTTCATAGTGTACCAAAAAAATAAAAAAAATAAACAAAAAAATGAGCAAGCTTCGGATTGGAGTACACAATACCTATCTATAACTTAATTATTTTTAAAGATTACAAACTTATTGTCTAATTTTTACTAGACCAAGGGTGAATTTGTCACGATAAAATCAATAATGTCCAGCAAAACACAAATAATCTTCTCTATGATATGCTTAGAAACACCAAGATAGAGGAAGAAAATCAATCAATACACTACTTGGAGCCCAATTATTAACATAGACAATAGAAAATAATTTTCCTAATCGACATTGCAACGGACTTTAAAACAATGAACAGTTCTAAATTCAAATTGCGTGCTCTCTCAACCAATCACAAGGTGACCGACTAAACATCGACAATTATCAACAATGCAATTAATTAAAAAACTCAATAATTCACTAACTTCCTCAAAATCGTAAACCAAGTTGAATACTTGCAATAGTTTTTTTCTTACATTTTTTGTGCACTACCGTCTTCTCTTCAAGGGGGCTTTTTGTTGCAATTGTTTGAATAAAAACAGTTTTGTGTTGCATAACAATAAATGCGTACATACGTAATGCAAAGAAAATTGAAAACCGTGGCCATATTTAACCTTTTTCCAACATTTTATTTACTTTACCCTGTTCCGATTATTCACCAAGATTATGTATTTTTTTATATTATCTATTAGAAGGATCCTGTCTTGGCCGAGTGGCACTTTTGGAATGGAAAAATCATTACTGTGTGTGGGTTTTTCGGAAATATCTCAGTAATAGCGTGGGGTCAATAAACAATATTGTGCTCAATCATTTACTAATTTGCTTCCTCGATCCTCCTTCCTCGATTCCACGACCCTTAGAGTCCTAGATCAAATCGGATTAGCAATATTTTTTCCTGCAGTTTTTGTACACTAACGTCTTCATGGGGGCTTTTTGGAAAATAGTTTGATTAAAAAGAGTTTTGTGTTGCATACTGCATGTATTTGATTTTTTTTAGTAAATGTACTTTTATTCAAAATAGTACAAATAACCTTGATGGCCGTATGATCGCAATGGTCCGACTATCGAGCTATGTGTCTCGGATTTGATTCTCAAGTCGGGCAGAGTATTAGTATAATAATTATGGTGGTATTTCAGAAAATTCTCAATGATAATGTCAACAAATTATACCCTGAACTAGAAATCTACATAATTTACTAACTTCCTCAAAATCGAAAATAATATCGGACTAGCAATCTTTTTCCTTCAGTTTTTGTAAGAAGACTAAAGAAGATGGTAGGTCTTCAAGGTACCTTTTTTTGTCAAAATTGTTTTTTAAAAATGGTTTTGTATATATTATATTGCCGCTTGAGTGACGAGACCAGCACCAAGGACTGTGCACTGGACCACGACCTACATTACGTACTTATCTAATGCCTACGTGATTGAGAACAGGTGCATTCAATATCAAATTCTATGAAAATAATAATTCGATCTAATATAATTTAATAACAATATTTTTGATAGTTTGATTGTTGGTTCTTCGTTTTAGTGAAGCCAGGTCAACGAGCATAAATGAGAATGACCCTTGCTACTTTTTACTAAGGTCTATTTCCCTTGTCAATGATTTTCTCAAATCTTTTATTGTAATTGTGTTAGTAGTTTGAATTTTGAATAGTGTATTATTTTTTGTTGGAACAAAATTATGAAGCCGCCATTTTGTTATTTGCATACCTTAAAACGAAATATGTTCCGAACTGTACTTTTATGCAAACGACTTAATGTAATTTACCTATATTACGGAATAAATGATTTGATTTGACTTTTTGATATACGATCGCAGCCAGGAGTAACAGCTAGTGAGAATTAAATCATCACCATCACCTTATGGCAGTCCAGACGATGGGTTCCCTCTAATTTCCTCTATGTATAGAAGGTTTAGCCAAAAGCGCCACACTTGGTATTAGGGCTGAAAATCGCTGAGGTTAAAAGGTATATCAGACAACGCTCTTACTCCTTCTACATCTTACTCAGCTCTTACATCATACTTTATGTTTCATTTAATATGTAGGTACCTATAAAATATAGTACCTAAGTCATTAGACGTTTGGGGATTTTGGAAAAACTCACCAAGTCATCAGTGTTAGGCACCTTGCTAGTTTTTTTGTTCATTTTTAAAACAGATTTATTACTCACGAGTGGTGCATTCGTAATGTAGCAAAGCATTGTAGTATCGAGCGTTCGTCGCTCTGATTGGCCGGTTCCAGTGATCCAACCAATCACCTGATCACATTCCAGTCTGTTTTTCAGCTATGTCCAGCAGGTCGCAAGTGCGACTGCCGGGCAAGGAGTCTCGGCTACGATTCCCGGGTCGGGCAAAGTACTATTGTTTTATTTAAAAAAATCCAGTAGTAGCACGTAGTTTTGGAATTGTGCCCGGTTTATGGCAATAGGCTCACTCCCTATTACATGGGACACATAACATAAAAAGTGAAAAATGGGTGTTATATTGTATAGTGGCATAATGTGCACCTCTGCCTAACTCTTCGTGGAAAAATGTTATATATGTATGTGTTCTTGAAAGTTTAACTGGTCTCGAAAGACAAAACCTCTTGATGCTTAAGCCATAACCCTATTTGGCTTGCAACCCCTTGATTCTATAATATTGTGTATTACCCGTGATAAAATTTTGTGACACAAGATCGACGAGCGCGAACTGGAATATCTTAGTATTTTCCATCTGGCACCTCTAATGGACTGCATAAAAGATTTTATAAAAATATGGAACTCCTAGATGGAAATCCTCTTTGATCCCTTTTCTTTTTTCTTCGTATGTTATTCAATTCTTTCTCTCTCGCTCTTTGCAATAGTAATTTGTTTATCATCATCAAATTATATGTAATCCTACATCATCATCAACAAACATTTAAGAAAAGAGCGTACTCCTTTTTAAAAGGCCGGCAACGCACTTGTGACTCCTCTGGTGTTGCGGTTGTCCATGGGCGGCGCTGATCGCTTACCATCAGGTGATCCGTCTGCTTGTTTGCCTCATATTCCATAAAGAAACAGCCCGCGACAAACCTGTACTGTAGGGCTCCTCAAAATAATTGCAGGCAAAGAGATTGCAGTTTAAAAGTTTAAGTTTATCACAGGTTTGCTGCCTGTTTTCTATCTATATGTATAGGTAGTCGTAAAGAGTAACGATGGAGTTTCTTGCTCGTTCTTCTCCATTCAAAACTACACTTTGGAACGATGGCCTAGGTTCACTGACAGACGGCCGGACGGCCAATTCTATTTTTAACTGACTTCAAAATTCAAAAAAGGAGAAGGTTTTCAATTCGACCGTATATATTTTTTTGACGTTTCAAAAGTGCATAATTAAGGATTAATAAATACTTACTTTGACTTTGACTTTGGTTCTTACAACACCCGTGAGGAGAGTTAAGTTGGATACAATCACAAAAATGTATTTTTCTTAACGATCATCATCTTACGTCAACCGTATCCCGTGTAATAAGTAGATTGTTAATAATTGGGCGCTAATTTAATTGTTTCTTTCTAGATGGTTCCACGGCGTAATGTCTGCGAAAGAAGCGGAGCTGCTTATCATGCAGAAGGGAAAAAACGGTTCATTCCTCGTGAGGGAGTCTCAAGCTCACCCTGGGGAGTACGTGCTATCTGTTAGAGTGAGGGGGAGAGTCAGCCACGTCATGATTCGAAGACAGGTAAGTCAGTTTTTGTTTAACACAAACAGATACAATACAATGGTCACTCAAGAGAGGCTCAATGAAGACGTATCTCTTTACTAAGAATCTGCTGTAAGAAGCGTTGTAAATCTATTTATAGGACGCAGTGTCCTCTTATAGGTGTTGATGGTGATAAACGAGATACTTAATTTTAAGATACTTAGTTTTGCGACTAATAACAAATAACACAAGTTGTGGAAATATTAGAGTAACTAAAAAATTACAAGAAATACATTTGAGAGATAAATGTCGTGGTGGCCAGGCGGTTTAACCCTTTGAGTACCGTCATTATAGACACAATTACTGTCAAACACCAAGCGGTCACCGGTGACCGCAACCTATTGTTCTATAATTGTGTCTATAATGACGGTACTCGACGAGTTAATGTACGACTCATGCATGGTCGTATGGGTTCTAAACCTATCAACAGCAAGTAAAAATGCGACTTTTTCCGAGTTATATGTACTTTTTAAGATATTTCAGACACGACTGACAAACGGTGACTATATGTATATGTCGTGAGGAAATCTGGGCTTATAATTTCTAATTATTATAGGTTTGAAATCGGTAACCCGTATTGAGCAACCGTGGTGATTAATGTTCTGTATATGAGACTTGTAAACTAATAGAAATATCACACGCGGAATAATTAGTAAGAATTCATTTATGCTTCCATTGCCTTGCTCTAAAATCTCTACACAGATAAAAAAATAATAAACAGAAGTAATAAGTACTTACAGCTATATGCGTTGGATTTCCTGTTACTTTTCGAATGCACTTTATGTTGTCTCCATCAGTACTTAAAAGTGCAATCGCATTCTTTTATGACAGACAACAGATTATATGAAAAAGGCTTGGAGGTCAATGAACTCTGAAACCGTAAAGTAACGTTGCTTTTGTTTCAAGTAACCAAATTATTGGTTTATTGTATTCTGTGGTCCTTGTGCCACCAGAGACGTTAATGAGATGAAAGTTAAAGTAAATTTAAACTAATATTAATAAAGTCGTTTATTTCAATAAAAAAATTAAATTACAACTATTACTTAAATAAAATTAAAACTAAATATTACTAAATTAAATATATACAACTTAAGATTAAAATTAATTATAGGAAAAACAAACTATTTATAAAGCATGTAATATTAATAGGTATTATAAATAACAAAAATTAAAACAATATAATGTCCGTCTGGTACATTAATTTAAAAACTTTATATACGTTTTTTTTTCTCACAAAATTAAATACCTTCGACGATATATCAATTAATTTGAAATATCGTGTGACGTCACAGCGTGCCACATTTTGTAGCACATTATGACGTAACAAATTCCAATTCCAACTCCTAAACTTAGCACCATTTTATCTAAGTATTACCACTTAATATGAGAAAATAAAAAATACGTGTCTAATATTTTTTCATTATCTAACTGTCGGACTAATTAGATTTTTAATTTTGGTACCCTGCTAATCTACCCAATTATAACACTTTGGGATGTGCTTCTCTGCGTATTCCTTTAGAGAAATAAAAGGTATCTATCATACCTTTTCCAAGCCTTTATATTACACGTGTAATTTGTAAATAACAAGTTTACAATGAAAGAAAGTTGATCCTAAAGTCCGGTTGGCTTTTTACAATCGATTCAATTGTACCTTGAGGTTCAATGACCTGATCGTACCTGTATCATTATGCTTCATACAGGGTATTTTAGCAGTAATTATAAGAGTAAAGGTTACCTACTTTATATTAATACGTCATCAAATCCCTTATCACGTAATACGTGAAAGCAAATAGCTACAACCACTGTCTGAGAACAACGCCATCTGTTATAACTTATACAAACTTAAAGCGTGGGAGAGTCATCATTCGGCACAAATAGGCCAGCTCAACCGCAGTAATACCACGGCCTCACAGAAAATCGACGTGAAACAACGCTTTCGTTGTGTTTCGTCGTGTGAGTGAGGTTACCGGAGGCCAAATTACCACCTCTTCCAATCTCCCCTATATCTGAATCCCAAACATTCCTTAAAGTTTAAATACCCAAAATTAATCCAAACCACAGTAGGATACAATTTAATACACTTTCATATATTAACATGATGCTACTCAACATGAAGTAACAAGATAAACTGAATTTTACTTTCAAGTACATAAGATACAATATTAACTTAGCTTTAACATTTCTTTCCCCTCATAAGGGTAAATTCACCTATTCGCGTCCATCCAGTTTGTGTACATTTTACTGATCGCCATGATTGCAAGATACTGAAAACGTGTAAAATCAAAGGGATGTGTACCTACTAAAGACCACTAATATGTTGGTGTTTTTTTTTGGTTTCGGGAATTTTGAAACGGCGTTCCGCAATTTGTAAACCAGTACTCGAACTGGTAGGTGGCCGCGACCAGGAGAAATTACCCTAACAGGTAACCAAACTTACTTTTTTACCACGGAATCCTCAATCATGTGTCGTCAGTCGTCAGTAACCAATGACTCAGCCCAATTACGGAAGATTCCAATGTCCGGCAGTATCCAGAAGCTTTCAACCAATGAATTACCGTTTTTGGGTTTCCCAAAGTGATATAACAGGTTTATATAATTGTACAGTGTTGTGAAACAGCTGTTGTCTGCGTGAAAGTACTGGAAGGGCAAAATATTGAGGTCCCCTTGGTCAGCCCAAGGGTTCCTTAATATTTACTACAGACTATAAGTGAGACATCAGTTACTGGGCTTAAATATTTTTTGCACAATATAATATTGAAAACAGCGCCATCTATCGCAAAAGGTGCGATTCAACATGCTCCTGTAGAACTTATGGGATATGCCACCCTAATATAAAACAAGCGCGAATCAATAGTACGCAATCTGAGAACAACGCCATCTGTTGGCAATGTTACTCACTAATATCTGACTCACTTAGTTCTGCGATTAGTGTGTGATTGATATCTAAGGCTTGGAAAGGTTGGTTTTTATTCGTCTTTAATTACTTATTAGGTACAATAATTATGTCTACATTACAAACCTTTGTACCTTTATCCTTACGAGTAATAGACTTCCTCTATAATTTATAGTGTGTATAGTATATTTTTATGAAAACAATATCATTAGGTCCATTCTTTCAAAAATTTAATCACATCATATTACAAGCAACTCACAACATAGCGGGCGCGAAAAGTGGGTGATGCAAAAAACATGTTCCTCTCACTTCTCAGTATACCTTTGAGGAATAAGAGACTACTTATATATCTATCTATAAGCAGACACATACATACTGTTAGGTATTAAATCAGTAAACAAAAGTTTAAAATCATTTATAACTTGAACACAAATGATCCAATCCAAATATAGGCAAGGTAATCAATTAAATCGCTCAGAAATCTTCAAAACAATTGTTGTTAACGAACAAAAAATGTATGGCATCGGTCATAGTAGAGGACATAAAGTTTTTTAGTCTTGTTACTGACATGCGATCGTTAATAAAATTAGGCTCAGAGTGTCCCACGCACCTATTTTGCAAAAAAACATCGCTCAAGAACAAAATCGAATCTGAATCACTTGCAAAGGTTCCGTATATTGATCATTAAAAAGGTCTAGTCTATATTTATACATAATATTATATTATAACTTTAGTTTGACATACTAGATTGATTATTATGATTTTTAGCGTACACACGTAATTATTTGACGAGTACTCGACTAGTTTCAAGCAATGCTAGAGGCTCATATTCATGAGCAGCATTCCGCGATCCGCGACGCGGTGACTGTCGCTTATTGAGATCAAACAGTTTCGTGATTAATCCGAAAAACATATATAATATAACATCACGCCTTTTATCCCCGTAGAGGCAGGGTAGAGGTGCACATTACGACACTTAATGCCACTGTACAATGTAACACCCAATGTTCACTACTTATGTTATGAGTCCCATGTACTTATGGGTGAGCCTATTGCGAGATACCGGGCATAATTCCAGACTACGTGCTACTATTTAGAAAACCCAGTAGTAGGTACTTTGAGCGACCTCGGGAATCGAATCCGAGACTCCTTGCCTAGCAGTAGCACTTGCAACCACTCGGCCAACGAGGCAGTCAGAAAACATAATAATTAATTAAGCCTGTTCTGGTAGTTTTTTTTAAATATTAGTCGTAGACACATGTTTTTTTTTTCTTACAAAATTAATACTTTCAACGATAATATTATTATAATATATTGATTTGAAATATCATATGACGTCACGAGTTGCTAAGTTCTATAGGAATGTATGACGTAGCGGCCTCTAACTCCTGAACTTAAATCCGTCATCTAAGTATTGTTTTCTAGTCTGACAAAATAAAAAAATAGGTAAACCTACCACTAACAAAAGGTGAAGGGAAACATCGTGAAGAAACCTGGACTTATAATTTCTAATTATAAGTTTAAAATCGCCAACCTGCATTGAGCAAGCGTGCTGATTAATGCTCAAACCTTTCCGTCTGAGAAGAGGCTTTTCTCAGCAGTGGGCATTTATAGGCTGTTGATGTAAGTTAATTGTTAAATTTATTTTTTAATATTTTGAACCCCAAAAGCTTTGAGTACACACAGTGAGTTGTATCTATGATCAATGTTATTATTAGATATCAAACTACGTTTTATTATATCATTACCTATTTTTGTTTATAATGATAATGATACCCATACCAACCATATTAGTTCTAATATTTGCTTCTGAGATAACAATAATAATAGTGTTCTAAATATTAATTTATAAAAAAACGACTAATGCATATATTTCATGCGAACTAAATTATGTTGTTATGTAGTTATGTACAAGAGGTTTCCTGATAATTATCATTATTATAGGATATTTCCACCTTATTTATCGAATACTCAGAACTCAGTAGTGCCACCACTAAGCACGAAGTCTAAGTTCAATTGTCAGGTCGAACAAATTGGGTATTAGATAATAACTACAACGCTTTTTATTTATTTTCTTCTTCATAAA